AACTGACAGTGCAATCCAATAAATATCTACTAGGAATTAAGCACCAATGCATTCACTGAGACTTACTCCCTTACTACATGATTACAGCCTAAGCAATCACTTGCACCAGAGGTTTATTTGCTGAAATGCTTTGCAGACAGCTGAAGCTACAGTAGAACTCAGATCTGTGAATAACTACATGCTCTTAAACTGTTCAAAGGCTATTGATGCTTAGGTAAATATCAGAAGATGATTCAGTGAAGAAAAGGAGGGAAGCAAGGTGAAAACTAGGAAGGAATTCTCAACTTCCCATCACATCAGTTTTCCAAGATATTTTATGCAATGACAATTCTATAGCAAGCAATTCCTATGTTTTTTTATGCTTCCAGAATTATGAAACAAAAAAACACACAGGTACAATATTCTGCCAGAATAAAATCTATCTGGATTATTATTACTGCTGCTACTATTTGTGGGTACTTTGGATTGCCAGAAAGACAAACAAGTCGATCCTAGATCAAATCAAGCCTGAACTATCTTTGGAGGCAAAACTGTTAAACTGAGGCTATCCATGTGTTTGGGCACATCAAGAGACAACAAGATTGCCTGGAGAAGACAATAATGCTGGGAAAGAGGGAAGGCAGCAGGAAAAGAGGAAGACCAAATATGAGATGGACTGACTCCCATAAACTTGAGTCTGAAAGAGGTAAGCAGGGTGGCTGAAGACAGGATATTTTGGAGAGCGCTCATTCATAGGGTCACCATGAGTGACAGGCAATTTTCAACAGACATAACTGCTACTGTTGTTGTTATATGTCATGAAATTGTTTCCTACTTGTGCCAATCCCAGTAGGGCTTTTGTGGTATTGAGAGATGCTTAAGAAGTGCTACCCCCTGGTTAGAGCAGGAATTAGAACAGGGGTCTCCTGAGCTCTCTATCCACCACACTGACTCTCAGCAGGCAGTTACAGTATTTAACAGAATGGATTGCACAACATACTCTATATTCTTCCCTGGATTAAAATAGATGCCATGTTCATACACATCTAGATAATTCAACTCCAAATGTTTTCTGCTTACTGTTCTAGATGAGGAATCATTCAGAAAGTAGTCTTAAACAGCAAAACATTATATGGAAGAGATTTAAAATCATCCACATTCTTTCTTTTACATTTCAGATGCCTCATTTTTTGTATTCATGAACTGACTACACTGCCCCCATCTCCTTTTCAAGGAGCCTGGAAAGGGTGTGGAGGTGGTCTCTCTTATTGGATTCCACTAGGATTTAAATAGTTTCAGATTTCCTCTTTGCTACAAGGACATTAATTAAAATAATCCCACACACCCATACACACTGTCTAGAACTTCTGTTACCAAAATTACTATTGTGTTTTATTACATGCTCACAAGGAGATCAAAGCATACTTCTTGCAATGCTGTTTAGAGGAAGTGGAAAGTAAAAGCTGACTCTGCAAGTTTAAATGCACAGTGTAAACTGCTATATATCTACATAAACCAAATACTGTAGAAGTATGCACATAGCTTTTTTTTAGAAAATCAAAATCTTAAAATGCAATCTATCCCCAGATCTTCCAGCCTAAACTGTAATTCATCGTGGATATGTCCTGGACCTGCTAATCTACAGCTCAGGCAGAGGAAAACTCCATGCCTGAAATGCTTCTACTAACATTAACCATACTGGCATCTATTGAAGATGGAGAGCTCCATTCAATTATGCACACAGAATCCACCCACTCCACTTTACACACTCCCCATGCTTTACACTCATCATCCATAACAGGGATGAACACAATCCCACTGACACTAGGGTTCTTTTTTCACTTTTGGAACAGTTCTCTTTCATATAACTGACACTACATGAAACTAGAATTCACCATTGGTTTGTGTGCGGGGGGGGGGAATGACAAGTCTGAGAAACATTCAGGCTGTTTAGCTCCACTTCCCACTCTTACCCTTCTCTGCAGTGCTCCCCTCCCTTCTTTCTTTACATTATTTTACAGATGATGTAGGAAATGTACAGCTTGTGTTTCCCCCTTCAAGCATCCACCAAAGAAAAGACTAGCAAAGGGCCAGAGAGAGAGCTTCAGCTGTCCCGGGGCACAAATCATGGAAGTAAGCCCATTAGCCTGAAGCCAAGTACAATCTCGTTACCAACCACCAAAAGAATAACCCTTTCTTTGTCTAGATGGAATATTACACATTCTTCTTCACCTGCTCTTCCTCTGTTCACTATCCATCTCTCTTGGTAAGAAAACCATACTTCCAACAACACCATCTACACTCTGAAATATTATATTACTTCTGTTAGCTCATACAGGATTTGCCCATACATCTGGTTTCTATTGTCTTAAAATCACTCTGAAATTTTTGTGGACTCATGGCATGCAGTGACCCGGAAAGTCCTAAAAAACACTAGTTCTTCTCCTCACAGCCCATACTTTAAAGTTAGTTGATGTGTGAGTACTCTTGTCTTCTGAGGACCAGGTGGTACTCTTCTATGGGAACTTCCCAAACATGGAACCAGAATTTGAAAAAATTGTTTATTTAGACTTTAGTCACCAGAATCCTGCAACCCGTGGCCATGCTAGCTGGGGATTCCAGGAGTGACAGTGCAAAGTATCTTTTCCCAGATGCATGTGGAACTCATTGCCACCAAAACTGAGATTATCTTTCTTTTTAATGGTATTCCATCTCAGGACTTTCATTTTTCACCAAACTTTTCACTTTGCTGCTGTTTTAAATTATGACACATCTGGATTCTATTTGCTATCTTTAACTGGGTAGGGGGTCTTATCCTAGTTTTTTCAATTTTAAAAAAGTTTTATTTCTATTGACCTAGTTACCTTATGAGCCACTTTTTGAAGGATCTGATCTTGAAAAGCGGAGTATGAACACCTAGGCAAATGAAAATAGAACATTTTTGTAGCCCCCCCCCAAGGACATGGGTTTGAAATATAAGCAAGAAAAATCTGTATAAAACCAAGATTATTACAGCAGCTCCTTCCTCTAAGGTAAAACAGTAATTCTCATTCCAACTTTACTTCAACAACAATTACACATATACAACCCACAAATCTTCTAACTATGAATTAAGAGCTGTCTAAGATAAGAAGTGTTGTTTTAACACTGAATAGCACATCTATTATCAGGAGAAAGACCTTGCAACACAGCAGTTACAAAAAAGATCTGTGAGCAGGAAAATCTCAAATTTAAACCATTGCCACAGACTTGCTGATTGTCCTCAAACAAGCCATGTCCACATCAGCCTCAGATGCTCCACTTGTAATATGGGGCCAACAACACCATTTTCAAAGACAGCATGCCTCTGATAATTTAATGCTGAAGACAGAGAGATTGCCATCACTCTCATGCTCCAATTTTGAAACTTTTATTAGGGAGAGCAGGTCAGATGCCTCAGATGTTGGGAAGGTGCCTAAGGAGGTCCTGCTGTACAGATGACATGGCTTGTACCACTCCCTGCCAATCTAGCCTACTACCATCATAGAGTGCTGCCATTTTGCCTTTGCATCAGGCTGAAAAATGTTTCCAGAGTCATCTGGCCAGAGTTAGACAAAAAAAATATTGTAAATAAAATGAAGAGGATGAAACTCAGTTTGATCCAGTCTGATTTCTCAGAATACACAGCCCCAATTTTGTAGTAGTACTGACAAAATCTTGCTCCTTGCATGTCACTAACATGTAGAGAAGCAACTGGTAAGGGATGGCAAGCTTATGACCAAAATATAATTGAAAATGGAAAGCAGACATCCTTCTCTTTGCTTGCACATCCCTGGAAGTATTTCAGCTTAAATGAAACTAACATACAGAGCTTGTTCCCACACCACTGACTCTTGTTGCACAGAACAGAGAGAGTAAGTGGAAAGCAGCGACTTTCCTAACAGGACTGGTGGACAGGAGTGGCTTGGCACTACATCCCATCAGCTACTAAAACATTCCCTCAAATTGGTTACCAATTAGGGACTGAACAGCAATTTGTCAATTATTTCCATAGGTCTACTTAAATCTGAAGGGATGTGATGGCACTGTGGGTTAAACTGCAGAAGCCTCTGTGCTGCAGGGTCAGAAGACCAGCAGTCGTAAGATCGAATCCACACGACAGAGTGAGCTCCTGTTGCTTGTCCCAGCTCCTGCCAACCTAGCAGTTCGAAAGCATGTAAAAATGTGAGTAGATAAATAGGTACCACCATGGTGGGAAGGTAATAGAGTTACGTGTCTAGTCGTGCTGGCCATGTGACCACAGAAACTGTCTTCTATGGCTTGGAAACGGGAATGAGCACCGCACCCTAGAGTTGGACACGACTGGACTAAATGTCAAGGGGAACCTTTATCTTTACCTTACTTAAATCTAATATTTTGGCTCACATGTTTGTAACCTTGGTTGTCTACCACAGCTGGATACAACCCTTTAAAAATCAGGACTTAACCTAAAAAATGCTGTTCTTATGCATTTCTTATTCATTCATCAAACTTAATGAAACTATTACAGTACAAACGTGACATCCACGGCAAAAAAAATTGCAATGACTTTTGGATCTGCATCTGGCTCTTGACCGTTTTTTTGTAAGTTAAAAATGATTTAATCAAATAATCCTGTTAAGACTGTTAGAAAACCCCTTTTGCCAAAACAAGAACAAAGTACATATAGACGCAAAACCAAATCGTTATAAATCCAAAATACACCAGAAATAAACTGTGTGTTGGACCACAGTCTTTGAGACATTAAAATTGGCATATCAACTTGCATATAAAAACATGCTTTCCATTCATTTTCCCCTAGCTTATCATTTTCTACTGAAGTTATTATAGAAAAATTGTAGCTTTCAGAAAGTATAATTTCAAAAGTATTAGTTGTTCCCATGATTAGTGGCAGTGGAGGAAAGAAAACAAGAAAATACGCCTCCAGGTGCAATGTAACAGTTTCCGCTTAACTATTTAGAAAAATTAATGTACTATAAAACATAAAACACAAATACACCCACCAAAGTAGTCGGCCTTTGGACAAGCATCCATCTCCTGCTCCAGACGCTGGGTAAGAGCTTCTAATTTTAATTCAGCAGTGGATGGTCCTTGTTCTTGTTGTGGAAGAAGTGTCTGACATGGTAGTTTTATTTTTGCAGAACTGGAGGTTTCTTGGTGACCCGAGTCATGTTGCAGAGTGCCAATGCCCTCTTTAAATGGAGATTTTGGAACATCGGAAATCATTGGTCCATGAGATGTTGCACTGATGGAATTCTGCCCAGGACTCATACCAGATGCAGCACAATTAAGCCTATGATTTTGACCATGAACTATAAAATGACCTGTGGGCTGTGGATGAGTGTTAGCCTGCTGATAGTCTACCCTTGGAGGCAGTGGAGTTGGATGCAAACTAGAAGAATGAGTGTTATCATTATGTCTTAACTGGCTGTCAGTACTGCTTTTATTTGGTGTGCTGGAAGCCCAGACTTCAGTGCCACAGTTTGGATTAAAATTATCAGACTGGTTCAAAAGGTTCTGAGAAATATGTGCTGGTGATGAAGAGAATGAAGATATTTGTGGTGAATATCCCATGAGTAAATCATCACCATGCACAGCAGAAGATGGCAAGGAGGTATGAGAGAAAGACAATGATCTCTGGCCACCTGCATTTTGCTCACAGCTTTGGCTAAGTCCATGGCCTTCACCTCCACTTTCCTGCCTCCCACTCTCCGAAGATCTGCAAGAGTTTTGCAATGGCTGGTACAGATGGAGATCTGCTTGAGGTTTTGTAGGACTTCTCTGCAATGACTCATCATGACTTCCACCAGACCATAAACCGGAGCTTGCGCCAGCTGTCACACCAGAAAACCTACCGCCATCCTTTCCCCAACTCTGAACACCCGTCCGATGATCAGCGTATTGAGGCTCTTCGTGAGAATAGGAAGAAAACGATGTCTTGACACTACATGGGTTCACCTGCCCTGCCCTGTGATATCCATGTCCTCCAGAAGTTTCTGTACCACCCGGACTCTCCCCATATCTGTAGTCACCACTGGCTCTTCGGCCATCTTGACATAACTTGGCTTGCTCTCTATCAGTATGAGCTTGAGTTTGATTTGGAAAGGCAAGATGATGGCCTGCACACACTGTTGGTGAGGTAGCTAAAGGGGGCTTGGCAGTATTTTCTCTTGAATGCATTTTGTTCGCTCCTCCAGTGCCTCTGGCTGCTGGATGGACCGGAAGTGGATGCTGAGTATTAAAACCAAGCCCACCATTCGGAGCTCCCGAAGCCGCTCTCACCAGCTCCTCTTGCTCTCGCTGTTTCTGAAGATGGATCTTGGCCATTTTTGTAGCAAAAACCCTCCTGGTTTCTTCAAATTCTGGGTTGTTCTCAACTGTTTTGTCCACCCGGAAGAGCCCATCTTTGGAGGCTTCGTACAAATTGAGGTCTTCTATAAATTTACTGGCCTCCAAACCCAGATCATCGTATTTATCCATTTTTAAAAAATCAATTGTTCCCTTACCATCCAGAAAGATGGATACCTATGGTGATGGGATTTTAAGAACTGAAATCAATTAGTTATATTAAAAAAATAAGATTTCCTTTCAGCAACCAGTAGGGCATTTGAAGCTGCTTCCAATAAATCCCTTATAATATAGTTAATACTTTCTGAGTATAAGGGGGGGGGGAATTGTCACATTCCCCAAGTTGTTTTCTAAAAGTTCTATTTCTCTCAGATTATACTAGAAAATTCTGAGTCCTTCTCCAAAGCAGTAAGATTCAGTTTCTTTCCACGGTTACTAGTGAAGAAATCTAGGGTTACCATGGACTCTTCTTCTGATCTCGCTGGCATTACTTTAGCTGAAAACGCTGGAATTAAAAGGAAAAAAAGGGGGGGGAGGAGAGTATTTTAGGACAACTCTCACTAGAACCACACATACATTTAGATGATTGTCAAGACCAAGAAAAACTACCTAAGGGTTTAATGTTAACTTTAAGGCCAGACAAGCTATTGGTTTGGTTCTGGTCGGACGTTTACACCCTGAGTGAAGTAAACAGGAAAAGCCCACCAACCCAGAGGAAATAGCGACGAGCTTCCGAAAAGCCACAGGTTACTACTTAACCGAGGGAGGAAGGAAGCGCGCGAAGTCCAGGCTTTTTCCCCAGCGAGGGGAAATCTTTACGATTCGCACGTCCTGTCCTTCCCTCTCTCACATATGCCCTGCCCGCCTTAACGCTGGAAAGGAACGTGTATACATATGTATACGTGTATGTATATAAACACATACATCCCCCCACACCTCCTTCTGCGCTGCCTCTACATCTCCCCCCCCCTCCGTCCGTCCGTCCGTTGGCCGAGGCACCCGACCTACCCACCGGGGACACAGCGCGAAAGGAGACGCCTGAGGCACCTCCAAGGCGCA